TTTTTGAACAATAAAGGAATTAAGGGATACGGTGAGAACGTGGGTAAGTGGATCTGAGTCCACGAAAAGATCAGCCATGATCTTATTGAATGGCGGAGCAGGCTCGAAGGGCCGGACGGCCTACTCCTGCTCCTAGTTCTTATGTTCTTATGTTCTTAATCTTGATATTAATATAATTCTCCTGTTCACACACTGGATAGGAGCCTTTTTTTTCAATTAAAAACTTGCCAGAATCTGAGTATAAATAATAAGCCTCAAGTGTTACCAGGTATTGTTTAATTCAGAGCTGAATCATGTTTAATTTTCTGGTTTTAAGTAATTGCTGCTGGGGAAAGGCAAAGCTCAATGTATCCTCCTTGTGAGCAAGAGCAAAATGGTTGCTCAGCTGGGCATATACAGCTGAATTAGTTGTCATGAACAATAAGCCCACTATTTCTTCAAGTACAGCAGGCCTAAACATAACTATAAGGAGAAGATACAAGGACACTAATCACTTTCTGAGGGAGCAAGCTACTGCAGATGCCTGAATCCGAAATGAAAACAAAAATGCTGGAGGTCACAAGAGTCAGCTATACTCGAAATGTTAGCTTGCTCTCTCTCCATGGATGCCGCCTGACCCTCGTGATCGCCAGCATTTTTTGTTTTCACCAATTGCTTGCTGGTTGTTTTAAACTTTATGAATTGGAATGCCTGGTAAAAGTGCTGGTGGTGGAAATATAGGCAGTTGGAGTTGTGTCCTAGACTTCTAAAGAATTGCAGCCTATTACAAAGAGGGCCAACGGGGCTGCAAATTAATAGCTCTGGATTTGTTGGATTGGAATATCTCTCTAGTGATTGGAATGAGGTCACCCAGGTTGATCTCATAGAATATGAGTTCCTGGATTGGGGCTGTTAACCTGGTCCAATTAGGAAGTTCTGGCTGACAGATATAAATAGAGTGTCAGGGGCTCTGTTCACTCTAGGAGCTGGTTCTGTGCTACCTGGGTCAGTGTCCTTTACTATGCCCATGTAAATTTAGGGTGACTTGGTGTCAGGATACCAGCTTTCATGGAATTATTCAGTCTCTTTTTGCGTTCTATTGGTTAGATTTTCTACCTCATCCTTCAGTCTGCTGGAAATGAGAGAGCAAAGTGGGTATCAGGAACCTTGATGATTCGTAGAATCAATATTTTATTTCCTTAACAAATGTGGTGCGAGGTTAGAAAATGAGACAGCGGAATGACAGTAAAGGAACAGGGTTGAATTATAATCTGATTAAGTGTAGAGGAGAAATAAATAGAAGGAAAGAAATAAAAATAAAAGGTTCTGTAAAATCTCAGCAAGACAGGCAGCATCTCTGGAGAGCTTTTCTGAAGAAGGTTCTAGGCCCGAAACGTCAGCCTTCCTGCTCCTCTGATGCTGCTTGGCCTGCTGTGTTCATTTAGCTCTACACCTTGCTATCTCTGGAGAGAAACAGTGTTAACTTTTCAGGCGGATGAAGAGCTCCAACTCATCAGGTAAGTGCCTACTTTTTGCTATCAGGTTTCTGAACTATCGAGTTTATTCAATGGGTTGAAGGTAATGGGGGGGTGAAGTTAATTCTTGTGAGTTGTGGCACTAATGAAATGTCAGTGCGTGTGGATAGGCCTCTCACCACCTACTGGTGACAGACTTGATCCATCACCTTAAGAAGGAGACCTTCACCACTGAAGTTTCTCTTAACGGCAAGAATCTAATTTTATTGCTGCTGACCTGAACAACTTTACCTGTTCACCCCCATTTTTCTCGTCATGTTGGGGATTGCAAAATCTAAATGAGTACACACTACACCATATCAGCTGGCACGTAATGTATAGAGAAGTCACCAGGTTAGTTTGTGTTTATTTTTGTGGGACTAGGCGGAGCTGCAGTGCACCATTGAGCTTCTCCATGAAATCTATGTTGGCCGCTGCTGCTGCCAACTGCCTCAACTGCTCCTGAGGTTTGTTCCTTTTACTGCCTGGCACACAAGTTCACACAGGGTCAAAACCTAACCCGTAAACATAGGTGAATTGATAAATAAGGAACCAGATCCATACTTGCAAGTGCCCAGGTCGAAACATCCAACAGCATGATAAATATGGATATCAAAGGTGTAAACTGTTCAAATTAATTTGTTGCAGTTTCATAATTAAGGGATTTTATTATGCTTTATAGCTGGATAATGGCCTCATTTTGTAAAATAAATGCATTTTATATGTATTTTTATGAAGCAGTCTCTGTTTTAGCAAAGCATACCTTAGGAGTTGGAATTTTCTTAATTGGTTTAGTCTTAAACAGACGCTTAAGTGTGCCATAAAACCTTCTTTGATCTTCAGTTAGAACTGTAACTAAAGCTCCTTCTTTTCGTGACTGCAAAAAAAGCAAAAGGAAATTCAGAAATGCATAAACTAAGACAAAATCTTTACTTATCACACCAGATATTTCAGCTCTGATTACTTCATTTTAACAAAATATTGTCTGCCTTTTGAGATATATGCAATTTCTGCTGTATTTAGTTTATCAGTACTCCCAATGATAACATGCTTGACAAAGAAAAATGTGTCTGTTTTCAATTACTAAATCATATAGAACAATCCATCATTAAACCAATTCCCAATGTCAGCATAAATAAACAAACAAGATTAAACAATGCAAATGAGGTGATTCAAAAAATTAAACAAATTGTAATTACTGTAGTTAAGGTTCACATTTGGATTCAAAAGAGGAAAAAGATGATATAACTGACTGATACTAGCAAGATTTATGTGTATGCATTACTTTGTTTTCTGGGTCAGTGCACTAACACACAGGAAATGGTATTTCTCAGAACAAGTCTTAGGAAGAAATCACACAGTAATTGTTCACCTGAATTTGAGAAGAGAGTGAAACAGTTCGATATGCAGAGTTATGGTGGTATTCAGTTCCTCCAAATTCCTACTTGTCTAAGGCCCTGCTTGACTTTAGTTAATGTATTCCAAACTCTTGCCTTTCTGTTCATGAGGGAAAGCAAACCTCTGTTTTGGAGACATTTTTCAAGTGACGGCTATGCCAATTGACCTCTCAATGGCATCACAATGGGAGTACTTATCAAATCCCTATGCTGGTGGGACCTTTAGAAGTATCTTAATCACTGCATAGCATTGCATGAGGAAAAGACCTTTGAGGGTGACGAGAAACTGGCATTGCTGGCTTGATCACAAGACGGTACTAACCATTTTTCAGGGTTTGGTAAACCCAGTTGGAAATGGTTATGGTATTCTTTCCTTTCATAACATTGATCAGCAGAGGGTTGTTTTACAATGAATCAAACTTTAAAATCAGCTGTTAAGAGATTAGAGGCTACCTTGCTCCATTTCGTTGACACAGACAAAATATATAATTGTGGCCAGTCTGCAGTGTCAAGTTTTTCATTCAGCTATCCAAGATAAAAACTATCCCTGGGGGTTTTCAATTTTGCTGGTCTAAATTCAAGGCATGTCTTAAGTAATGTCTCCAAATTGAAAGATACAGAAGTGATTACAAGAAACAAAAATTTCTTTTTAAGTATCGTCCTTTGGGCCCTGATATTTACTGAAGGGTGAGGAAGGGATTGAGATAAGGTTTTTAATAGCTGGGATATCTGGAAATGTGCGTAATTTTAAAACCGGGGCTTCATTTCAATTTTTTTGTCTCCATTTCATAATTGACAGCCAGCCAAGTTGAAAGAGATGATCAGGGGTAATTGCATAGCTATGGCATTTGGCATACACCAAAACTGTTTTAGATCCACTTAGAAAGTTGTGACTTGGTAAGTTGTGGGAATTTTCCTACATTAAATGCTTGCAATACTGTGTGCAAACATGAGGAAGTAAGAATTTATAATTCTGTTAGCGTTTTAGTGTTTGGTACAAGTTAATATGGAAAAAACAAACTTAAAACCTACTAAAGGTAACTACAATTAAATAGAAATAGTGGTATAAATAGAATTTAAAAATAAGTAATAATTTGTTGAATTATTCTTTTTACCCAGTTAAGTTAATTGATAAAATTAAATTGATTAAATGATAAAATTAAAGTAAATGGGTTGATTACATTAGATGTTAGTTAACTAAGTTAAAGGTGAAATGTCTCTCTTTATCCTTGACCAAGAATGGGCCCCCTTGTGGCCTAGCCAGCGACTCCCTCATCCGGTGAATGAATAAAGATTCACCCAGTATACACTAAGTGCAGTGCCGATGAAATATGTGGAACCGTTTAAAATAAAATCCATTCAGAAAGCTTCTTTTGGAGAGTAACTGCTGCACTGAGAGCCCTCTAAGATCTGTGAAACATGAGTTAAGGAAAATCTGGTCTGATTCCATTAAAAGTGAGGTCTAGGATATGTCTGCTCCAGCCATGGAGCTGCCAGCTTTTGTGCAGTTTAAATTTCCACACCAACAGAAGCTGGGATGCTGGGAATAAGTGCAGCAGGATTTCTGGACATTTCCGCACCTTTTTTTGCCATTGCAGCCTATTTCTCTACCTCTTTCTCCTCCTCTAAGATATTTATTAAAATCATCTTGTCATAAATCTGTTTCCTCAGCCTGATATTTCCTTACATTTTATTTGTCTGCCTCACCGAACAAATGTTTTCAATGGTATGAAATTTCTGCGTTTGTCAAGCAAATATGGACAAAGCTCACCACAGAAAGTTGGGAATTTACTATTTCAGTCTTATTATGATTGTTAATGGCATGATAATTCTTAATTAACACTAAACAATTTCACTGTCAGTGGAAATTCACTGTTACAAGTATGAACTGTTATTCCTTTAAAGCTTAATTGTTCATGAAGTTTCTTTTGAAAGCATTTTCTTTCTATCTCTTTCCCCTCTCTCTTAAACCGTTCTTTCTTTTCCCTCTCTTGATTTTGCTTTCTGTAGTTTTGATGACATTGACTCCAATACACCAATGGACAATTCCTGCTTGTGATTTTGTGTTGCTCATTTACAATACTTCTGATTGGTTAAAGAAACTCTGATATCTCAGGATATCCGAATGGAAAGGAACATCTTTTGTTGTTGAACACCAAAACAGAGCCACTATGTGTGGCGTACAAAGACTAGTCCTAGCTTGGATCAGACAGTTCTGCAAATACATGCCTCGGCCTGCTTTATAAATGATTAACCCTCCATGCCCTTTGAGCTGCCTACTCAGTCGCGTGGGACAATTCCAACCTACTCTATAAATCATAGAATTATCTGCTATGTATAAATTATGACCTAATGTTATTTAAATAAAATCGTTTGTGCCTGCAAAACACATGCAATGAGATAAACCGCTGCTACCCCATGTTATTCTTCAAACTAAGGGGATGCCAGTGTAAATAAAATATACTAAGCTAAACACACTAGTTTATAAATGCAATTTAAATTTAAATTTTACTGAAGAACAATTGCCTTTCTTTTATACATTGGAAAAAGTTGGATACTTAAAACTCATTTCAAGTATGCAGCATGTACAGTTTCAATTTTTTATCAACACAGCTGAATGTCTTAGTTATCTCACAAGAATTATCATCACATGTAACTAATTTTTGTCTGACTTCAATTAATATTACTTAAATAAGCACAATACCACAATACTATAATGCAGTTGGAATCTTAAAATGAATGGATTCCCAAGCTTGTATCTGTAATTGTGTGAGACCTCTGCAACTTAAAAATTTGACTAGAAGGTAGTTGCTATTTTAATTATGCATATTAAAAAGTGATTTTTAAAGTCACATTTCACATGTCTTTTACACAAAGTTCATGACAAAGGAAAACATACTCATTTACAGTACTCACCCTTTTATGCATCGTGTTAAAGTTATCAATAATTATACCAATGAAAAGATTCAGTGTGAAAAAAGTTCCAATTACAATAAAAGCTACAAAATAGAAGAGGCTGTATGGGTTCGCACCCATTTCGGGCTGAAGGTCGATCTGCAGAAGACATTTCAAATGTTAATGTGAATGCACAGTAAAACTGTCAATATTTACATTGCAAGATTTAAAAATAAACAAATCCAAATTGCCACGACTTATTTTCAAATGGCAAACTGTTAATATTCCTCTTTGGCAATCTCAAGGCAGGAGAGGCAACATTCGCACTGTTGATGGGCCCTTCTAGCATACAAGCTGCTTGTACTATATTTAAGCCAAGCTGCATATCAGTTTAGAAGCTACAAACCAGGAGCTATCTCACGCACTGTCGTCTTAAGGATGCCAAAATGCCTCAGATAGAGAATCTGACCCCCTCGCCCCTCTTTCCAGATAGGGACCTGGATGGGATGTTTGCGAGGAAGGCCATTGTTTGCCCATTGGACCACTATAAGAGGTTAAGACACCAAACACAGCCAGCTTGGACTGATAGCTGCCTGGGTCAGTGATGTCTCCAGTTTTAGATGTTATGCACAGCAGTTCAGGAAAACATCAATGATGATTTGGGCTGGGCAAGGGGTAAGTGCCACCATCTGCTGCCTCACACTCACTCAAAATCTGCTACTACACACCCACATTACCAATACTCATGGACTGCCAACCTCACTATTGCAAGTAGCATCTTCACTTAAAGGCTCTCTTTCCACAACCACTAACTCACCCTACTCTTTAGCTAAAATATTACTCGATCTATAGAGGCTTCCAATTAAGTGCAAACTGAGTGAGCTGTAAGAAATGAACTAAGAGCTATAAGATGCATCCCATGTACATGTATGAGATGGTTATATGTCCCTGTGCATAAAGTGACCTGGCAGGAGCAGGCTGATCAAAGCTCTTTCCTGAGCTCCAAAGTGAAGTCCGAAAGAGTTGATTTAGAGACTGAGTTGGTCACAGATTACCCAAGATAACGTGCGTAATCTGGGACCAGCTCAGTATCCAATTCAACCTTTTTGGACTCATGGTTTACTGATGCTGACTTCAGTGGACAAGGGGTAGAAGAGAACATTGTCTGTGGAGTATTCAAGGACATGTTTGTGAAGGGACATAAAAATAGAGGCCCAGAGAAGCACGTGGCAAGCTGTATCCACCAGGTAACCACTTTGACTTTCAAGTCAGGAAATGTTACTGTCTAGTTTCTCCGGAGGGGAGGGGAGAACTGCAAACTGCACAAAATGAGGCAATTGGTGAATTAATGAGATGCATATAAATGGAAATGAGACAGTTGCCACTTATCACTGGGATTCTGATCTTGCCAATGGAATCTTAACAGAAAAATTGAAAAAATTGAAAACTGAAAAAAAAATCTTGCACTGGGATGTAGATTCTTTTAATCTTACTGTACTTTCCCACATTTCTCACCATTGCCTACATTGCTCAAGGCATGGGGAAATTCCATCTTCATTTCCTTCATTGATTCTAACAGCTCAGCATCAATAGGTACCAGACATTGGTTTTGTGATTTGCAAATTGAAAGTTGCCTTCTTGCCCTCCTCAGCTAGCTCCTCTAGAAAGTGAACAGCTGGCTAAACAGAGGCAAGCAGGGTGATTCCTCTGAGCCTGCCTTCACTTTGACAATTCCAGTGCATTCAAGAGAGACTCTGACCAATCATCCAGAAACACCATTTTCAAAGAGAGCAAGTAAAAATCCCAGCCCAGGAGTCAGCCATAATGATATTGCTTATATGAAGTAAATACATTAACACCCGTGTGATACGAAACAGGTTTGTTTTCTGTACTGCTATGTTACGTGCTATTAAGGAGATTTTTTCAAAATTTAAAGCTTGTTGGTTGATCAGTCAAACTCTGCCAATGGATACTTTTTACATGCACCTTCTGTCTTGATATTATTTTTACACACTTGTAGGGAATTTAATGCCAGCTCTTAGTTATCCCTGGTCCTGTTCAATATCCTGACATCTTAATATATTGCATTGTGGACACTAGAAAGGAGTTCCTTGAAATGCTGGTTGTTTTTCAATGTTGCAACTTGCTTTGCTCTAATGAAAAACCTTATTATTATTAAAGATCACTATAACTATTTTTGCTTTTCTTTGCTGAGACTATCAAATCCATCTTTGCCTCTGTGAGCCTTGTTTCTATCAGCTACAAACAATCCATACTCATTGACCAACTGACAGTCTTCTGCCATAGTGTTCATTGTGGCCATGAGGGCACACATGATGGATTTCATGTTGTTCTTTTCTTATTATTTGATGTTTGAAGGCAGCTCAGCTTGTATTCCTCAATGCCGTGGTGCCCAATACTTGCATTTCTCACCCACCTACAGAGATTATTTTTAGCAATGGTTCCACTTGTAAATTTAACTAGGACAAGTGCAGTGGCAGGATGTAATGTCATACCAAAGGAATTTAAAGGACGCCTTTGAGAAAATTATTGCTTGTTGACAAAAGAAAAGTTATGAGCGTGATATGTTTAGCTGTCATCAAGGAGGAACAAGCAGGTTGGTCAGAGACACTTGACAGACTGGACCAAAGGTTGGAGAAGTCTATCACATCTATACTGTTCTGGCTCTGGCATGTGTGCATCTGGATGACTCCATTGATAGACATGGAGATCTGGGTCCAGCACATGGAATGCTGGTGGATACGTGCACAGAGCTGCACTCCACTGCTGTAGCTGCTGGTGCTCAGCACCAGGATGATGAGGGAACGTGACCTCACAAGAAGACAGGGCAGTAACTGGCAGATGCCAACCACAGGAGGAACCAGAGTTAGGTCTGCCAGAACTCTCTTCACAGGACATTCCAGAGATGCCTACCCCCACTATCTCCATATTCCAACAACCCTCAACTCTATGGGAGCTCAGGCCAAGGAGGGTGAGATTGCATCTGGCAAGGATCCTCTGAGCAAGTCTGGACCCTCCAGTCACAAGTGGTGCCAGGTTGTCCATCCAAATCTTCAAAGCCAACAGTGTCCATTATTGGTCACACACCGGCAACTTAGCTATGGACTCCGGTACTGCACCAAGATATGGTGGGAGGGAACAGACAACAAAACTTTCTGAGAGTGCTTAGGTGGCACAAGTGACAATTCATTGTAAACAGAATATTGCATTTGTAAATATACATTCATTTTACATCACTAGCTGTGATCAACTGTCATTTCAGGCTAGAGATGTTATCCATTTTAAGATTAAGCATAAAACTGGAAGAGTTGCAAATGGCTTTTAACATCATCATACCAAACAGCATAATGTCAAGGAATGAAAATAACCAGCAGTAATATAAAATATAAACTAAGTGTTACAGGACACAAAATTCATAGACTTACCCCACGAGTGTCAGCAGCATTTGCCATAATTTCTAGCCAGCCCTCAAATGTTGCCTGTAAATATAAAAAATAGATACACAATGATGTGATTAACATGGATTTTGTAAGCATATTAATATTATACCTGAAACTAACTTTTCACATGGAGATATATTTCATTGTTGAAGTAATTTTTCTGAGGCAAGGTCATTTCCCATCTCTCCAAGTGTTACCAAGTATTTCCATTATATTCTGTTTATATTTCAGATTTCCAGCATCCACTGTATTTTGCTTTTGGAATTCTTCTTGGCACCTAAGTTCCAGTCTTTCTAAATTCCTATGACTTGTACTTACACTACTTGTAGAATGCACTGTTTTCCATGGACTACAACATTCTGATCTGTTTCCTATGCCAGCCAGGTTATGTTAGGTATTACATGTAATCCTGCAGCGTATGGATAAGTGATGCAAACTGCCTTTTCCTTGCTAGAGGTATGCTTTAATAATGCCTGCTCAGTTAAAAGGCATTAAGAAAAGCCAAAATTCCAAACCCACAACTTTTGGAATCAGGTAGTCAGGCAATATTATTAGGTTCAGCATCTTTTCATCTATTTTCCACCAATTGCTTGTTTTTCAGTCTGGGGTTAATGACCTATTGCCTAACACAAAGATAGACTTGGTCAGAGTCCTTGGTTGTAGGCTCTTAATAACCTACTTCAAAGAGTCTTCAACTAGGCTTCAAAGAGTCTTCTCAGGATGATGTCAATGTGGCTAAATTCCACAAATTTCAAGTATGCGTCCAGTTACATTCTACAAATTTTCAGACAGGTTATTCATACCTAGACTGTCCAAGTTAGAACTGCACCAAGGACTGCCGATCTTAAAATGAAGATTTGAGATGAAACAATAGAAACAGGAAACAATTCAATTTCCCAACAATGACGTTGTTATCCCTTAATTGAAGATATCTTCTTCAGATAACCAATATTGTGCCATTGGGATGTGATTTTTATTGCTTTCTAACACTAAAATGAGGAAAAAAAACACTTGTGAACCAAGAAGAAGCAGAGTACAGTGATAAGAGGAATAAATGTCTTAATGAATAAAAAGAACAAAGTGAATGATGTAATCAAAGTAATTATAATGAATTGACATTTAAAGGATAAATTAATTAGTTGATTAACGAGAAATTAGTGGTACAAAAGAATGATATTTGTTAAAAAAAATGTTCTTATGACAGGTCCACTTATCCTGGAAGTAGATCCTAGGTGAAACTAAATGGCAGCAGCCTTGTCTTCTAACCTACGCAAGACGGCCTGTCAAGCAAAGCAGGACAACAGAGATTTCTTTTTAAACTCTTGCCACCAGCTTCAGTAGGTTTACATGTTTAAAGAGTGAGGGATTCAAAAACTCAGATCATGTCACTTTTAAACAAGCCTCATCCACTGTCTGCTACATAAATTTGTGACTCCAATACAGCAAGTTAAGGACCTCAAACCAGCCAACATGGAACCTGTCTGATCTCAGTACTAAGTTCAAATAGCCCCGAAGAACTCAGGTTTCTTCCACAAGTGAGTCACAGCCTGCCTTCATCCTCGGATGGCAAGACTTAGATATTCAGAAATAGGGGCAGAACTTCTCCCAGTCACTTTTAAAGTGTTGTGAAGTCAACAAGATTCAACAAAAATCTAGCAATAGAAATGACAACTCTCCAGGGTTGCCAAGGAGACACCAGTAATTAAAGACTAATCTCCAAGTCATTGCTCTATGTTTTGCATCATTCTGGGTTATTCTCAGCAATTAATACAGTTTTTATTCATATTTTCTTTGAACACTTTTGCTCATTAATTTAAAAATATTGCATATAGAGTATAGAGACTGTTTAACTGACAAGCAAGAATCATTCACTCAGGTAATGAATAGATTATTTGCTTTCCAGCTGACTGGAGAAAAGTGACAAACTGTGAAAATGCATGAATTGGGTAATCAATGACAGGAGTTTGGGAAAGGGTTGCTGGAAACAGAAGGTTTTGTGATAAACACCTCCAGGATTATGTCATATCAGATTTGGCAACTTACTTGAGGTTGATTTAGATCAGATTGTAAAAACTGCTAAGACTTGAACTTCATAATCAGAACGTTACAAGTTTAAAATTTGCTTCTGTCTTAACACACAATCTAAAATGGCAAAATGTTATCCATGGCATTGGGTCAGATTTTCACTCTCAGTTTGGATGCACGGAGATCGGAGAATTCTTGGCTCTGCAAGCCTGCCCTTTCAAAATGGCTGCCTAGAATTTTCAGACATTGTGGGTGCAGGCTGGGTTAGAAGTTGGCGTAGGTGACCCTGGAAGAATGGAAAAGGCTTCTGATTTTTGTAGCCAGGCTGGACAGATAGCCTGCTTCGAAGATATGCCATTGAGGCAGAAATTTTAAAAATAAAGAATAGACATGAAATATCCTTCCAGCCCTATCTCTCAAACACCCCTCCTCACACATTCAGGTATTTCCCACAGTAACCTATCCCTCTGCTTTCCTCCCATAGCCCATCAAGCCCTGATGCCAATATATGCCCACCAAATAACCACTCTGGCCCCTCCTCCCTTAGATAACAATACCTATAGGCTGATGCCAAGCTTTATATTTTGACAGATAGCTTCAAATAGTTTTGATAATTAAATCCTACAGATCTGTTGACAGTTCCAATGACCTTGATAGGAATGGGCTTACGCACTGTTTACAAACAGTTATGTCAACTTTTACCAATTCTAATGGATACCTTATCTCCCCAAAGAGCACCTGACTTCCACCAAGGGTGGCCCAGGGCCAGATTGAAAAGGGGATAGTTCTAATCTAAAGAAATGCACCAACTTCAGATCTGCTCTTACCAGGTCTAAACTGCATACTTTGGGTTAAACATTCTTGGGCTACCAAAATCCCAATGTGGTGGAGGCAGCTGATGATTTAAGGAGCCAGCTGTCTCCATGAACTTCACATATGCATATTCTGCCCCATTCCTGTCTGGTAAATATGGGAAGTTAGGGGAAGGGACTTCTGGTTTCATGGCTCATCTGTCATTGTTGCCATGATGGGGAGGTTCTCATTCATGGCAAAAATTCGGGCTGCTGTCACAAGACCAAGGTCCTTTTGCCTGTTTAGATAGATGTACAAAATACCATGATGTTTGGAACAGGAAATTCTCTTGGCAAACATTCAGGTCTCAACTTATACCCACAAATAAATTAACTGGTCATTTGCGCCTGTGGGACGTTGCTCTGTTCAAACTTGACTGCCAAAAACAACAGCAATTCATTGGCTGTGAAGTATTTTTGAGGTAACTTAAGCTCATGAGAAAAGAAAAAAAAAACATATGAATCGATTTTTGGCTTTGACAAATGGTGTGAGCACACCTTGAGGAAGAAATTATCATGTCACTTGGGGTGACAGCAGCTGCAGTATAAGTGAAGCCACACTTTTAAACAGGACTAAATTCCTCAGAAAAGAAAAAGTTTTTCAATGGCTGTGAAAAGCTTTGAATGTTTTGAAGCTGTGAAAGTTTATTTATAAATCCAGAAAAGGAGAATTAACTGTTTGCTAATTCTAAAAAAAAAGAGACAGGAGTGGAACTTGTAGATTTGAGTAGACAACACTAAATCCTTAATTTACACAATACTATTAGTATAAGAACATAAGAACATAAAAACTAGGAGCAGGAGTAGGCCGTCTGGCCCTTCGAGCCTGCTCCGCCATTCAATAAGATCATGGCTGATCTTTTCGTGGACTCAGATCCACTTACCCGCGTTCTCACCGTATCCCTTAATTCCTTTATTGTTCAAAAAAAATCTACCTTTTCTTTAAAAACGTTTACTGAAGTAGCGTCAACTACTTCACTGGGCAAGGAATTCCATAGATTAACAACCCACTGGGTGAAGAAATTCCTTCTCAATTCAGTATCACTTGCTAAGAGTAGCTTAACTGTATTCTGGAACAAGCTTCAGTGATATTTCCAGTGCGTCCTTTGTGCTCGCAGTCAGTTTGATGTTAATGTTGATGGTGTTGGATTGGAGAGCACAGCCTGAGATGCAGAGTCTCCCTGTTTAAACAGGACACGATCTAAGAAACCTCCTTGCATTGACAGCCAACTGCGGGTTTCTCCAATGTGCACCTATAAACTTAATAGAAGGCTGCTCTTTTGTCAGAGAGAGAGAAAACTGGTGATGGTTTAACCTGAGGGTCACCACACATCAGGTGAGGAGAGAGGTTGAGAAGGAGAGTCCTTCATGGTAACCTTGACCAGTGCAGGAATTGAACTCATACTGTTGGCATCAGTCTGCATTGACAGCCAGCTATCAAGCCAACTGAGCTATTTCATTTATGCAACTGTCTGAAAAATTGGACCAGAAATTGTGCCAGTGTATGATTTGCTTTTCTACTCAGAGTTTGCAGGCTGGTTAGCTTAATTGTCCACATTGCTAACGTATGGCTCAAAATAATATCAATGGCATGTGTTCAATTTTTATTCCATTGAGATAGACTTGGATTTGTCTCCTTGCCCTGCTCTTGTGTGGAAGGCAATGGCAAAAGGAAATTGCCATGAAATGTAGCCCAGGACAATGTTTGTGCAGGCGATCAGCTGAAAACTTTAGGCAGAGCAAAAAAGACCTAGAGAATATAAATGAAGCATAAAGATGTGCTTTTACATGTGCTTTTACACCAGATTTAAAAATAAATTCAAAATACAGTTCAATTACATTAGCAATTTTAGCAACAACATGGATTAACATTACTTATAATTTCTTCTAAACCTTGCAATTTATTGACGCATGCTCCAATGCCAGAAAGCAAAGAAAATTTGTGAATAGATTCGACAGCATCCCTTGGGTTGTCTTAAGATTATGACTTGTTATTCATTCACTGTTGCTATAAATTCCTTTTGCAAAGCTCAACTAAATTACATTTAAATGCAGAATATCTTAAATCATAGATTGAAAATCCTCAGCAAATGTGTCTTTGCTTACTTACCACCTGCAGGAGAGCCATGTAAGCAGCTAATACATTATCAAAGTTAATCTTGGGGTTGACCCATTGGTATCCGATATCTTGGTATGCATCACATTCAGATCGATTATTTACAATACTAATGGGAAGACGGTCATTATTTTGATCCACACATTGAAAGAAGGTTCCACCAAAGATCTGAACACCGACAATGCCAAATATCAGCCAGAATACAAGACATACGAACATGACATTAGAAATTGATGGTATTGAAGCAACCAAAGCGTTAACAACAAGCTGTAAGGCAAAAAAAACCCCAATGAATTGTACATCCTGCAAATAAACAAAAATAAATTAGTTTGACAACAAACCTTCAGAACACAAAATTATCAAGAATTTTATTTAGTTGCTCATGGCATTGAGCATTGCAGGCAAGGTAGCATTTTTGTTAATTTCTAAATTCCCTAACTGGAATCATATTAGCAATGTGATTTACCTAAAATTGTTACATGAACATCATTATCAGGTAAATAAACATCAAAGCATCAGGACCAAATATGAAGCAATAAATTATAATTTGATAATGTAATAATTTTTATGAATACTTTGAGAAAACTTTGATATAAATAAATATAAGGCAGATGTTTACATCTGTCAAACTATCTCCAAGACAGAGGCTATTTAAACTACCCCCCTCCCACCGCCCACCAGGATCTAGGCAGAACTGGAGATGTAATTTAAGGGGTAAGTGTACTGCTATATTAATCCCTCATGGACATTGTAACACAGATGTTTTCTTGGCTGTGAGGCTGACTTATTCAACAGCCAGAAGTCTACTGGGCAGAGGAGCAGCTGCAGATTGTCCTGCTCAACAATCTCAAGAAATCCACGCAGGGATGATTGCTCTAAATTCTCTTCACTGGGTGTGATACAACACATGAATTTTCTAATGGAGACAGAAGTTAAAATTGGATCTGACAGTTAAGAACCGAGACTCCGCCAAAAAGGAACAAGGCCAATTTCTGGTTCAAGAGTCTGTGGGCTTGATTCTTTAAAAAGTATGCTGGACAAGTCCTCTGCTGTGGAAGAAAGCTGAATGAACATCATATTTATAATGATGTACTGAAGGAGCTGAGCAAGATGGCGAATGTCACAGTGAAGCCCAATGATCTGCACAGTTCCAACATCTGAGATGATTCAACACACAACAGTGCCACCAAGTTGACTATATTACAGGTAATTAATGCTTTTTTCCAGACTTAATTCCAATGGAATTTTCATGTGAAAAGCAGAATGACAGAAAATCTGGAAGAGCAGCTTCAGCCCTCTATCTCCTTTCATTTGCATGCACGCACCCAGGTGCACTGGAATTTAGCAGGTACAGTATTTCAGAATGGCATAACTCAACTTATGTCACAAATTCCTGCCACCTGCACCAAAAGTATACTGCATTTGCCCCAAAAGAATTGTAGGTTTCAAGTCTGTAGTAACTATCTAAAATTCATTTTTGTTTAAACTATGAAAGCTATTTCCATTCACTACAAATCGTTCTGCATTTTTTAAAAAATGTAATATGGTGTATACTTATTGCCTAATGGTCATTGAGAGACTTTTCTTGTTGGGATGATGACCTTGATATTTAGTCTTCATGATGATGGGTGGAAAAGAGTTAGTTGTGGGTGTCTTATATTGCGAAATGCAGAATCAGTGACCTTCACCTGCCATACATGGATCTGTTATCATTTGTGTGCAGGAGGATATTGGAAAAGCTAAGGGTCACACCATTGATAAACAAGCCTATCAGTAACATATTTTAATAACTTGCCCATGGTACAATTAGGGGCCCAACCTAAAATTCACTGCTACTGGACAAGTTTTCTGGGAATCAGTTTTGGTAACCTGATAATTGAGCAGATAGGTCAGCAGCATTTTGAGGTTGTACTGACACATGAATTTGATTTGGAGACAGACAGCTATTAATAGGAGATTCGATTCCTCCCATGAAATCCACGTTACCCAGAATACATTGCACTGATGAATAATGTGGACGTTGCCAGACAAGATGTAGAAGATACCACTACTATGCTAGTAAGCATTACAGTCAGTGGATGAAATTCCAGCAGTATCTCTACATATGGGTCTTCAAGTCTTTGTCCATGTTAAGCTGTGCTTACAATTTTGGGCTTACATTATGTATCATGTGTTTTTGTTTTGGCCCTCTGCACCTGATATCAGACAAGCACTCTATTTTGTAAACAACTCGACTTTTAAACTCTTGGTCATTTGTTTGGAAGATTCCTAGATATTGTGATGGGTTTTCTGATATTTCAGACACCAGGTGGACCGAAAAAGATCTCTACTACTCAAAAGGAATAAGGCTCAAAGTGAATTATAGTCAGAATTTTAATCAAATGATAGGATGTTATATTTTTCCACTTTCTGACATGGTGAGCAGGGGAACTCAATCAGGTGAGAGGCAACGAAGAAATTCTCGAACACAGGTGATTTAGCTAAAAGCAACAGAAAAAGTCACAGTAATTTGGTGATGGGAAAATAAAATTTCAGTTCTGAGTAATAGCACTTCTGGTTATAAAAAAAGTTCTCTGTGCCGAGATAAACTTTAGCTATTTAGTTCTTCCTCTCCAGTTGGTGTGTCGGGTATGTCACCAGCAAGGGACAAGAGGCTCATCCACATGTATTGGCAGCTCATATACCACAAAGAATTGAAATGAACTTTTTTTTTATTTATTCGCTCGTTGGTCATGGGCATCGCTGTCTGGCCAGCATTTATGGCCCGGTCCTAGTTGCCCTTGGGAAGGTGATCCTCAGCTGCCTTCTTAAACCACTGCAGAGACGTGCTGCAGGTTGATCCACAATGGCATGAGGGAAAGAATCCAAGGATTTTGACCCAGCAACAGTGAAGGAACGGCGATATATTTCCAAGTTGGCATTGGTCAGTTGCTTGGAGGTCAGCTTGTCGGTGATGGTGTTCCCATGTATCTGCTGCTCTTGTCCTTCTAGATGGAAGTGTTTTCACCTTCCCAATTAACTATGCGAGTGTGGGGAGAAGAGTGGGATGGGAGTCTCCAGTTAGTCAATCCTGTTGCAGTGATGGGGTGGGGTTGGAGGGAAGGAGGGGCGCGCATTCTGGTGAGTACTCTGGTCAGTCCCCTGGGGTGTGGCTGGTGAATGTGTTACACTCAGTCCTAGGCTGGGTCTTGTTCTCCAGTCAATCCTGGGATGGGTTAAATGTGTGTGTTCCAGTCACTCTGCAGGGAGAGGAGACTGTACTTCAGTCAGCCCAGGCAACGAGTTGTTCCATGAATTGAGGGGATGGCTTTGTGCTTTAGTCAATACTGTGGCTTGTGCTGTAGTCAGTCAATCCAGAGCCTGGGCTCTAGTGTGTGAGAGGTATTGGTTTGCAGTCAGTTCAGGGTGATGGAGGATCTTTCCAGTGCATCATTCAGAGTGACACCAGTTTTGTCTGGGACTTGGTCTCGAGGAGAGTGGGAACCTGTGAAGTGGGGCAAATGGTCACAGGGATGGACAGTGGTTGCTTGTTGTAGTTGGAGATTTGGAAGGTCAGTGACGAGGACCCTATGGTCTTGTAAAGAAGTTAAAGAACATCAGGGTTGGTGGTTTTAATAAGGGAGGAGTAAGGCTCTGCAGAGGCATTGGTATCTTTATGCCCAGGGGCTGGTCCAGGGGAAGATTGAGCACCTCAGTGATTGCTGGTGTAGTAAGAGGGAAGGACAAAGGGCACAAGGTCAACAAAGATGGTGACCCAGTGAGGGTGTAACAGAATGGAGGGAGATGGTGACCCAGTGAGGGTGTAACAGAATGGAGGGAGATGGTGACCCAGTGAGGGTGTAATAGAATGGAGGGAGATGGTGAACCAGTGAGGGTGTAACAGAATGGAGGGAGATGGTGGGTCACATGGGGCTTGATACTCCAACAGATAGCTAACTCTCACCATTCTGAAAGAGAATCAAACCTACTGCTCAACACTCTATCAAAGTAGAGATGGTAGCAAATAAAGGGAGAGGAATTTCATTTGGGACAACTAGCGGAATTGCATCTTGCCTGTTAAGATGAAGTGAAGAGTCCCTCTTAACCAATAGTCCACTGAGTAGATAATCCAAAATATTTGCCTCTCTTAACAACATCTTAAAATGCTTGAGTAATCATATTCAAATGAGAAATTTTGAATGGCAGGAGCCAAAATGCATTTTCAACTGATGGTCACCTCATTCCTCTGATGTCTGCAGTGAGCAATGTGACAGGGGAAGCAAAAGCAGTCTCTAAGCTTCTGTGTTAGTGTGGGCTGCATGTTCTGGCATTCTGGCTGGATATCAGTCTCACACAATGGGAGGCTGGCAGGAGCTGGCCATTAAAGGGAAGGGTGGATATGTTTGCTGGCAGCATAATTATGCCAGATCACTTTACAAGGGTTCTTCTTCAACATCCTCAATGCCAGCTGATTAATGTCTATGGAGATGTGCATTGGCATGCTTCCAGTACCCCAGGCAATGAACACTGACCTCACATTATCTTTCCCCACATAACCATCAGATCATCTTATCAGTAACCAGATTTGTTCATGAATGGGCAAGACTTCTGCAGTGTGTTTGAACAGACCCTCTGTGAGCACACCAGCGGGTACACGCAGGTTTTCCAGGGGGCTGTCACAATGACTACATTCTGGACCTCTCACAGATGTCCGCGTCTTTTGGCTCCACTCGGGGTTGGTTACAAAAGGGAGACACCCTTAAAACCCTGGCTCATGATGCGTTGTCAGGTTTCTACAGACTGGCACCCAGGAGAGGCATAACGTTGCTCAAGCTTGCGCAAGGACCATTGGAACACAGACCATCAAACTCCTGAAGATGATATTAGGATGCTTGAGCCGGTCATGTGGTGGAATGCACTGCACCCAGTGCATCGCACATCACAGTTAATTACTGTGTCCAACTCAACCTGATGAGATAAAATGGGGTTGTCCTGGGACAGGACGAGATAGAGGAGTGTGAGGTCTCCTCTGGGGAGGAAGATCATACTGCGTATGCTGTAGTAGCCCAGGAGGGTCCTCACAAATACCTCCCCTACAGGGCTACAGTCAGACGGGGTGGAGCTGTTTGAAAGCCTCAAAGCCACCCACTTCCAGGGGCACAGAGCGACAGTGACATGTTGCATTTTGGTTTGTTACGGACAAGCTGGCTGATGAGGCATTGTGTTCTCTATCCAACATTACTGAGAAGTGCTTCATTTTCCATACTGTTTAAAATAAAAGCAGAGTT